CTCTCTCTCTCTCTCTCTCTCTGTATGTATCTATCTAAAGCACACAAAAAAGTTGTGCCAGTGACATAACCAAAAGAAAATTGTATTAAAGTGAAAAGTAAAAGAAATGATGGTATCACCTTGTAGACTATTTCTGTGTAGCTTGTTTTGAAAGATTTTATTTTTATTTTTTTGTGGAAGGTCAAATAGGATTAAGCAAACACATTTTCAAAGCAACAAGAAGATAAACTCTGTGTTAAAGAAATTTGTTGAATATTTTATTTTATTATCCACACATTAAGAGCTCTTCAGGATGTGTGCAGATATTTTTTTATTATAAAGTTTTAAAGTTTTCGTATTTCAGCAAAACTGAACATATTAGGATGATTGTTTTTGAACTCCAATAGTGTGTTAGGAGGGAGGAACTTTTGTGTTTGATAGGTGTTTGCTGTGATAAGAAATTATTATCATGGGTCAGATAAGAGTGATCACATACATACTATTGGCCTCATTGTTTGGTCTCTAACCATTGTTTTTTTTCTGTAATGTTTCAGACTTTACTAAATGGTCTTGTTTATGCTTGGTTGATCAGTCTAGGGAATCCTCAGAATTTTCACTTGATTGTATATCAGTATGAAATGGACTGCCTGGAACTTTGTTGTCTTCTTTTAAACTTTTCCCTCTCTAAGGTAACAAGAAAAAAACGAAAGGATCAGTTGAATGTGACGCCTTATCTGTTTCAAGAGAATTTTAATTTTATATGTGTTTTGTATGGATTATTCATTTTGAGATTTTGCGAGTGGTCTTTCATGTAATTTGTGCATTGTATGATTTTCAACTATTTTATCAGGACAATAGTGTCTCGTCATTCATTATACTTTACTTTGAATGAATATGATGTACTGATGTCACACTTACACTATAGTAAGAATCATGAATACATTCCTATAGCTTTCTCTTATTTTTTTTATCCTGTTCCTAGAACATTACATTGATATTAATGTTGTATAGGTATGTTTCTCCTAATTTTTTGTTTTTGCTTTATTTACTGAGTTTTATTATTTATTGTAAATTTTTTGCAAATTATTCTTTCCAGTCACCACCAACAGAGGAGGAAGTGATTGCGAGATGTAAGTCAGCCATAGCCGAGGGTTTATCTCTTGTGAACAGGAGTTATGAGCGGCATGAAATTCAGGATTCAGATTCTGATGAAGAAGATAGCCCAAGCAGGTTTGCAGACCAGATTTTAGAGAAAGTTACTTACATTACTGATTGATCCAGTTCAACCCATTAACTGTGGTACTAAGAATTGGTTAGTGGTTGTTGGCGAGTATTGACAATTTTCCTCATTTGTTCTGTGCTTGCTTGGTATTTCATGCATAGCATTGGACACATAATAGCTTATACTTTTATTTTATTTTATATTATAAAAAAGGGGTGGGGTCCCTTCACTTTAAAGATTGTGGGGATCCCTTCTATTTAAGTGCAGGGGAGAGGGTTCCCTTCACATTAAGTGCAAGGGGGGTTCCCCTCATTTTAAGTGTGCGGGGATCCCTTCACTTAAAGAGTGGGGGTCCCTCCCCTTTAAGTGCCTATATCTAATAGTGACACCAAAGAAAGAAAGAAAATGGTGTCACTATTATTGGAGAACAATAAGCTCTCTTCGAATAGCCACAGTGTGGGATATATCATGAAGTGGCGCCATCCATGACTCAGGCCACCACAGCCATTGCATATCATGTCATCTGCAGTCAAAGGGTTAACTAGGGAGCAAATTGTAATACTCAGATTACCACATGAGGTGAAACTACCATGATGAATTGCTTGTTTGAATATTTAGTCATTCAATAACATTTTTCAGTGCCTGATTCCTTCATCATTTCAGCCCTGTTCCTGTGTATGCTCTCATCAATCCTTATGAAGTAAAGCCATTGCCACATATCATTGGCACAGCCATGTTCATGGAAGATGATAAACTAGGGTTACAGGAGTCTTCCAGTGAAGACAGCTCCAAGGTTACATTCAGTCCAGAGGACACAGACACGGAGGAAGACTTGGACATGGAAGACGAAACTGATATAAATCAGAAACACAAGCCAATTCCAGCAAGTAGCTCAAGATTAATGGTAAGGTTTATGAAATTGTTTAAGGCGATGTGCTGTTTGCTCTTTATAACTGACTTCTGGATTGGGAGATGAATAGACACTACCACAGTTTTGTAAGCTTTTAAAACTTTGTTAAAAACAATTTTGACTTTAGATTTTATAACTGAGAATGAATGGATTATGACTATTTATTTTATTGTTTCCTGACAGGATGATAGTGATTCAGACTGGTCAGATGTGCCAGTTAGAACTTCAAATAAAAACCCACAGCCACCACACATGACCAGTGAAGATGATGATGATGATGATGATGATTTCTTTGGCCCCTCCTCTAAAAGCTACAAGCAAGTAAGTCTTACATAGTTCCTAGCATACATGTATGTTTTCTTTGAGTTTACCATGTGACCAACTTCTTTGATATTTTTCAGATACAATTTTGTCTGCCATTACTTTGTGTTATTACCAGAAACAGCAAATTCTGGAGTTCCCATTCTTTATTTTGTTATGTCTTTGAGAAAAAATTGGTGCAAGTACAGAAAAAATTAATAAGGGGATCTAATCTGCCTTTTGAGGACTTTCTTTGTACCAGATCTGCTTGTAATCTCTAACATTCTTCCAGTCAGAGTGACTGAAGGTGAAAATATCAAATGGAATAGACAGTACATCTTTTGAATTTGAGGGTCATTATTCATAGATGATGATATTTTGCATAGCATTGATAGTAAAGAAAAATTTATAGTGGTTGGTAGGATTGTCTGTTTACAGCTTGTAATGATTCATTATATTCCAGAGAAGCTATATATTATTCGTAGTTAAGTTGGTTGCTGACAGCTTATCATGTGACTTCCTGTGAGTTGATAATGAGTTGCCAGATGAGTCTGTGCTCTTTTGTACAAGTTGTGTGTATTTAAGAAAGAATCACAGAAATTACTTTTTTATCCTCTCAAGTAACAATGATGATTTACCAGTTCAATTTTGTAAATATTATATGGACCACAGATTAGATTCAGAGGCTTTATGTATCATTGTTCATCTGGCAGTTTCCTTAGTGACAGTTATGAGGTGACAGGATGGGGCCTCTGATATATCATTTACGCGCTTGATCAGTCTCATGGTAGATATTGCATTCTCTCCAACTTCAGGGAAAGCCTCAGAAGTGAAGTAAATTCTAACAGCTACAATGCATTATTTGTCGGATATTTTGCGATCTTTGTATTTGCGATATCAGCACAAATTTATATCAAGTGGCGACATACTCCTGGATTTTGACATCCTTATGTGTTCCATCTGTTTGGTCTTGTTTCTTTTGGGTTGGGCACTGCCTTTCTTTGCAAAGGAAAGGTCTGTTAAACATGATTGAAAATATACTACTTTTTACTGTTGCTGTGGTACTCATTATTTGGCTTCTGGTAAGTGAATATACATAAAGATTCTGTGATTTGATTATAGTTTATTAATGATATTTGTATGTGTGATGAATATATATGGAAAACATACTTTTGCTGATAGTGATGAAAAAAAGAAGCTACTTTTACTGCTGGAAATATTCAATTAACTGATGCCACCAAGGATGCCTTATAAGGACATGTCATGCTCATTGTGAGTTTGCTTTATTGATTGTATTTACATGTAGATGGCTCTACAAGTGCTTAGTTACCAACAAGTCAATCAGAAGACTGTCCTAGCTCACAGGAATCATTTTATGTGATCTTACAATGTTATTTATATTGTTGATAAAACTGTGATAATTAAATTTTCAATGATAATGATAATAACACTATCAGTATTAACCCACTAACACCAGTATATTTTGAAGCTGAAAATAATAGTTTCTGGGCAACTACAAAATCGGCACGTGGGGCTGGCCCGCAACGGAATTGGAGCGCAAACTTCGATCCAACATCACACTGGCGGGATGCCCGGCAATGTTTATTTTTCTGGGTGTGTCATATATGGGACACCCATCGTAAATGGGTTAATAGAATTGGAGAAAAAAAAATCCTGAAAGCTTAAGGAAGGGGAAAATCTGGTGAGGGCACTTAGACTACTAACAAATTCTTAGATGGCTGAGCACTTCTGTAACATCTTTGTGTAAATACATATCAGAAAACAATACTACAATGGACATCACACTTTCCAGGTGACATTGGGTTAACAAGAATGATTGTCATGATATATTTTGTCATTTAAAACTTGTTCAGACCTTATTTTTACAAAAGTAATTTGTAACGTGGAACTGATAAGTGCTGTGCGTAGCTTATTATTTCATATGTGTGTATGTTCTCTTTTGCAGAAAGTTCAGTTATTATTGTGTTTAGTAATGTTTTTTTCTTTTATGTTATTCAGGTTAACAATGGACCAAATTTATCTTCAGAACTTCATAAAAAGCTTCAAAGTGCCACAGGAACTTCTCAAAGAGTTAGTGGTAAGGATTTTGATTATAGTGTACAAAAGCATGTGATTGTACTTTTTTGTGAGTTGTCTTTATGATTAAAGGAAGTGAAATTATTAATATAAGGCTTCACAGTATGTTCTTGATGATTGAAAATCATCAATGCTACACTGCTTTTAGATTATAGATTTATTATTATTTATTTATTTGCTAGCTCTTTTTAATGTTTGAAGTTCTGTCTTCAAAAGTGTAGAAAATCTGCTTGATATGGGTTGTAGTTATGATTATGATGATTTTTGGGGGGGATGGCCTAATTTCATCTCTTATTTTTTTTTTGCATTTGATATGCCTTCTGAATTATAGACTTTAGTATTTAAGATTATGTCCTCAAAAGGGAACTAGCTTCTGTAACACCTGCTTGATTATTTTCAATATCTCACTGTACCCATAGTATTCATCTCATTAACTTGCATATCATTGATTTTAGGGAAGGAATTGTGATTTTTTTTCCTTTTGCTATTTTT